TTTTTGGAGTGCTTCATGTTTAAAGAGGACAATTCTGCATGAGATAGTCACTTACACCCTTGTTCGCTATCACTACATTCTTTCCAATTCTTGCGTTCTTGTCAATTATGCAGTTTCTGCAGGACAACAAGAAGGATCAAAACTGAAATTCAAAGAAACTCCAGTTGTGCCAAAGCATTTAATCACCTAATCTTTGTGTTCCTGCCGACGCCATTTGGAACTTTTCCCTCGGCCAGGAAGGCTGCTCTCTCAGCCTCAGTTTGGTAATAATCAACACCCATCATCATTGTGTCCTGCAAAATGAGATTTAAGTCTGTTTCAACTTACGTTTACTTGATTCAACATCACAAACGGAGAATAAATGCTTTCCTTGTAATTTCCCTAGTATTCCTAAAAGAAGTAGGAAGAAAACTCGCCTTCATCTCGACCCCGTATTCCAATCTTGAACGAACTCCCACGATAGAATGTTGAATGCTGCATTCCCTCAAAAAGCAGCCGTGCGATATTATAGAATCAATGACCTGCATGACAAAGACAGAATATGATTCAACAACTAAGTCTTCATCATCTACTTTTATCTGTTCACTCTAAAGCTGTACCTGGCACTTCTCCATTTTTGTTGGCGGTAGAAATCGAGGAGAGGTGAAGATCGGTTTTTGCGGATCATAGAAGTGAAACTTGGGGGGCTTCAGAGTCAGCAAATGTTGACCGCAAATTATTGCACTGTTTAGTTGGGGAAATCTGTGAGTGGCATATTTGGAATATAAAGTACCTGATCTGTGAGCGCCAAGTTTGCATCGAAGAAGGACTTAATTGTTCCAATGTCTTCCCAGTATCCGTCGAACAGATAAGCCTACTTCCAAATGAACAATGAAAATTCTGAAGGATGTCTAATCGCACAAGTTCACCATCACGCCTCTTAAGTTAGCATGATGATCGGCACAATTTTTTTTGTGTATAGTCGAAAAGAAGTTTGTGGAAGCATTTGTGTCACTGAGTGTACCTGGACATGATAGTCTCTTGCAGCCATCGGAATGACTTCAGATCCAAAATCATTGGCTATCGGATAGTCCTGTCTGAAGAAGACAAAAATTGAACAACCATACACATTACCTATTTAACCATGCGATGCGTGCATATGAGTCAATCATGTTGAGTCTCAGTGTCAGATATAGCAGAAAGAGAAATTAAATTGACTCTTTATGTTGGACAAGCACTTAGTGATGTATCTCATCTCAAATCAAATAAGTCATCTTTGAAGTTTGAATGCTTCTCTTTCATGAATGTTAGGCGGCAAGTAAAAGTCCAGAACGTTGGCTCGAACAATTCCGTCTCCGTCTACCAAAACAACCGGAAATGTTGACATATGGTAAACGGACATGAGAAAGCATATTAGATCCATTAAGTTTTAGTCACCTGAGAAGCTTTAGCAAGACGTCTGTTTTGAACAAGTATATACCCATTGATGCAATGTAGGGGAATCTTTTCACATCTTGAGCTGATAATCCCGGAATTGCTGTATCTACTCTCTGTGACAAGGAAAAATCAGAATGAAACAACAACAGAATGAAGTGGATGGATATTAGAGCACCAGATAGCAGGGGATAAAATTGAAACTAAAGAAAATAAGGCAACCATTGATCTCAGGTCTGCACCCTTAGGTTTTTCAAGAAAGTGCTTTATCCGTCCTGATTCGTCGATCTTTATCAAGCCAAAGTCAGAAGCTCGACTGCACGAAAGTTGAAGAGTAAAATACCCTGATAAGAGTTAATCTCTCAGTTACTTTGGTTTAATAAACATCACGTGTGAGGCCTAGGAAGATGCTTCTTTTAAACTTGCCTGTCATCCACGGGCAGAGACGAAACAGATATGTCAGCACCAGAACTTATATGCTTCTGCATGGAAGAACCATTATTTGCAATAATCTCAGTAAAAGCCGATAGATATCACAGATGTTGAAAATTTACGGTGGATACAGGATGACCTGCACAAAATCCATGTAGTCCATTCGGTAGAGATGATCCCCGCATAATATCAGAATGTTCTCTATGTGTCTATGCTTGGCATCCTTCCAAAATTAACAAAGAAATCACTCGATGTTGAAATGATGGGGAATCAAATTTAACCCTAAATGCAGTAGCGAAGTACAATCATCTACCTCAAACAGCCAGGCGAATTGTCTCACGGCATCTGCTGTGCCTTGAAACCACTTCTTTCCAGATTCACCTGGTGTTTGAGTGGCTGCTAATACCTACCACCATAATCGGAAAAAACTCAAGACATTTGAAGGTTAGTTTTCCTCAAGATCCCACTCCAGTTAACTAATCATTCCAATTGATTGCAAGTTGTACTCCGATCATACCAAGGATATAAAAAGTAAGCAAAAACTAGGAGTATATATTTTAGGTAAATCACGACGTACTTCCACAAACCCATCACCAAAGTTCATTCCACTTCCCAAATTATAAGTACGAGCTATATGGCGATTGAGGGACTGAGAATTGAATTGAGTAAGAATATAGATCTTGTTAAGCCCACTGTTGATGCAGTTACTCATTGGGACATCTATTAGCCTGTAACATCCGCCAATCGGTACCTGAAGCAAGGAAAAAGAGTTGTGACATCGTTAATGCGAATGAGATAGATTACACTTTGAGTAGCAAACGCAATCTCAGGCAATCTGAAGTTTGCTTACAGCAGGCTTAGCTCTTGTTTTAGTCAAAGGAAACAGTCGAGTCCCGGCTCCACCGCCTAATATTATAGAGGCAACAGTCTTTGGGTTCGCCTCTGGCACTGGAAATATCGGGGCCTGAACTGTCTGCATCAGATTTCGCAGTCAAAGAAGAAACCACTAAGATGGTACAGGGACAGTAGCAAAGTACCTATAAGATGAGACGAGAAACCCATCTCATCCTATTTAAATGGGATTAGAGATCCCAAATAGTTATCATCTCGTGGGTTATCGCATCAAGAAAGTGAAATGATCATTTTTTCTGAGAGAGATAGAGGCAATCATCTGAAAGAACTGCACGCTATTAAAGAATCATGCCTATTCATGATACTTGTTGAAAACTTGAACCCCCAAGAATTAAGATCATGATGATACAGACTAGACTCGTCTGATTATGAAAATTAGCGTGACATACGTAAAGATTGAATAGTCCCCCCAGTGACATGAAAAGGGATGAACTATGTATTAATTTACCTTGAGTTCTTTGGCTACATCTGCCAGAGTAGAGTTTATCAGTGGTCTATCAGATACAGCGCAAAATTTCGTCACGTGACTGTAGTTTCCTAACCGAACACCGGTCGCTCTCTTGCCCGGAGTAACATCATCCAAAGCCATGCCAAAGAACGACGGACATAATAACTTGCTGTGGCCTAATGGCAACTTCGAGCGTTGACTGCAGCAGGAGCCCAGCATTTCCATAATCTTCCCCTCGACGAGAAGATATCAAGGCAGCTTTGAATGGTTTAAAGAAGAAGGCTGTCTCGTACTCCGCAGACGGATGTGCTCCTCTGCTCCTCAAATGGACTACCCAAAAACAAATCAAAGTCAAAAGGAAGCTTTGTTTCCAAATCAAGTACAAATATCTTCTGCTATATCCGCATCACCAATTGGGAATGGAGATTACCATTTCTTCCATGAATAAAAGCGAAAAAGATATAAAAAAAAAAAAATCACCCCCATCATTAACTGTCTGTTGTGTCACTAAACATTGGTAACCCCAAAAGAAACAAGAACAGCAGAAAAGAAAGAAACAGAACGTCCCTAAGTGCAAGAAACGTTCAGACGACTAATGGCATCAAGGACACATCATACTCTTGATGATGATGATGATGATGATAGTCCTACCTGTACTAAGAAGTGAACAAGAACATCAACGGGAGTTTGTGGTTGTGCTCTAATTTAACAAATGGAACAGAGAGAGAGAGAGAGAACAACAGAACAGAAGCAGAGTTGCCTCTGGATGGAGCAAGGAATGGCTCTGGCGACAAAACCACCAACTTTTTCAGTATTTTAAAAGAATAATCTCTGTCTCTGTCTCTGTCTCTCTGTCTCTCTTGCAAAGGAATGCATGAAACCACGTCAAGTTTTCGAGATTCCGAAGCGGCTTTTGGGGAAAGCCAACGTTTGTTGGGTGTGTGCTCGGATATTCTCTTTTTTGGGTTTACGCAATGGTGATGGTAGTAAAAATTAGTAATCCGAGTCCCACGGCGTTTCCCTCTTCTCGGGGTTTCTGTTTTCATCAACAACTTCATCTGCCTTCTACATTTTGCATGTGCTCTCATTTCACCGCCCCCCAAAAATGGAAGAAGAAGAAGAAGAAGAAAGAAGAAGTATAGATTTTCGAGCTATATCTGCGAACAGTTACTTCATTCCTTCTTTTGATCACGTGCTGAATATCGCGTTCCCTGTATTCGGAGTAAAATCAATCTCCAAATGCAGATGAATCGAATTTCACACAGGTGACCGAGGTCACGCAGTCTGTTTTATTATGATGATGTTCCCGATTTACCCGCCATACCGGCAAAGTCCTCGGGTTGAAGGTATGCGTGAGCAAGGACAGGCCATCGAGTTTGCGAATATAAGGAGGGACCTGTTAAGGTCCGCCACCGTGCTCATGACACATTCTAGCGGCACATGATGTCGACGCATCGGCTCATATTCTTGCAGCAAAGACCATAATAAGCAAAGACCAAGGTCTTATCCTAGCTCATCGAGACACTGCACCTCCAGAGTCGAGACTCATCTCCTCCGCGATGACGAATCCAGAGACAATTTGAACGTTCGACATTAGCTTTGGTCCAAAGCCCCGACAAGAATAAATCATAGGAGTCGGACAGTGGATTTACACTGAAAAGAAATAAGGTTCAACAGGTTTACACAAGATTAAGGGTTAACAGCAGAAGAAAGAGATCTTATGGTTACATCCTTAAATATTCGCACAAAAAGTTCAAAGAACAAAGACGATTTAGTACGACCGACAGTGAAATGCTTTGAGTAATGGTGTCAACATTCTTTTTTCCTAATTATATCCCATAATATAACAGGTCAATGTTCGACGACGACGACGACATATATATGATTAAGCATCCGCACCAACATATCATGTACATCTACCAGGGGGAAAGATATACTGAGCAAGAACGTTCTTGCAAACTGCATTTTTCCTAGACCTTTTTTCTTATCCCTACAGGTCCACAATGAGGAGAGCGAATGATACACAGATCTATATGGAAACTAATGGACTATACAACATATCCTCTAGCGAGGCCGCTCGGCCTTCAAATTCTTATCAATCTATTCTCAGGTTATTACAGAGATGTCCGAGTTCGGGTCTTGCATCCATCCAGGACGTAAATGTCGTTGCAGCTGCCGATGCGCAATATAGGTACGACCGGAATGTGATGAGGTAGAAGTATCTCCTGTAAAATCAAAACATCACCACATCGTCAATTCTTCGTGCACACAACTAGCCACAAGAGAATCATAATACTACTCCCAAACAGCGGACAGCAGCAAGAGGACAGTAATATGGATCACAAAAGCATCAAACACTCTTTTCACTCCTGTGGAAAAAATGTTTCCCCCCTCCTCTTCTTGATTTTACAGGCCCTTGGAGCAACGATCCAAGAGGCCATCGTGTTAGGTGATAATTCATGAGGCAAATTCTCTAGGCAGGTTCACAAAAGAGACGCTAGATAAGTTTGACATGATTCAAGAACAGGAACACCAAATAAAGCAGTAATGAACATGGCCATGGCTTGCAAACCAAAAACAATCAAACAAAACCACACATGCCTAACGCACTCTGAAATGATACCTTAAAGCCTTTACACCCATGTCCATGAGATACGATCGCTTTTCATCGTCACAGTCGGACAACTTTTCCAATTCCTTCCTATAGTAAAGGATATCATCTTGTAAATGCCCAGCACCTGCACATCTGTATAAAACAAAATACTTAGCATCTTGAGGAACTAACAATGAAGCAAGAAAAAGACGAAAAAGATAACAGTCAAAATGAACTTAAATACTATAGAAGTATGTTTCCCTCAGACACGGCCAATTGTTATCAGTTATTCCTGAGAAAATGGACGGAACACATTCCTTTAGGGAAATGTGTTAACATGCAAACAACCTCGCAGCATTCACCCAGGCTCATGCATAAATATAGAATCAGTATCGGTAGAAACAAGAGATCTGTCTCCTAGAAGAGAATATACCTATTGATTATACAGTCGACATCTGCTTTACTCTTTGGACCATATTCGAGAACTCTTGTAAGGTTCAGTATGTCTCCGTAATCATACATCTTGAGTGACTTATCATCAGAAGTCCTAGATAAGTTCTCTCCAGCCGCAGGATATAACTTCATATCAGGCAGCGGTTGTGGCGCCTTTGGATCACAGTTGGTCTCTGCCTCAAGTTTAATACAAGTAATTGCCATTGCATATGCAACTCCTCCAAAGCCTGTGTGAGAAACATAAAGATAACAGCCTGCAGAGCTGCACGATAAAAATTGTCTCAGTTTCACAAGTTCTGTTCTATATTAAGAAAACGAAAAGGAAAAATATCAGGAACAAAATTAAGGAAGCCTTTCCATGATCCACAGAAAGTAGAACGGACTAAAAGAGAAATTTAGTACCGTGTCGTTGCAATCACTAGCTAATCACGACAAAGTTCGTAATGTAAGGCAATTTGCCACAACCATTGATCCCACATTATGAAACCTTAAGTCAACATTTAATCAAAGAGAAGAAAACTTAAGTGTCCCCAGTACTTGAACTGAATTTACAAAAAGTTCTACTTCCGATGCATTTATCACAAAATCAAGCATACGAAGGTACCTTATTTTTTTATTGTTGCCATTTATGAGGAACATTTATTGCAGCTTACCCAGTGCCTTTAGGCATCCTTTAACACTTCGCAATTTTAAGCAAATCCAACAACAGAATGTGCATCACTATCAGGCAGTAAACTCCTGACCTGGAAACAGATTCAAAAAGGATGTAAGCCAAGTATTGGCACTTACTCATCTTTACAGTATTGGACAGCATCGACGTCAGAAGCTAAAGCTTCTCTTTCTCTGGTCAATGGTATCCTCCTGTATGTAATATTATAACCTTCATCCTTCAGAGAAGCATACACTTCAGCTGGTGTCTTAATATCATCAGTTAGGATGTTGTCCCAGTATCCTATGACACTCGACTGATGTGATGTGGTGTTATATTCTTCACGATGTAAAAGCATTTGCCCACTGGACTGCCTGACCTCAAACAAAATATCTTCTTTGAGCCGTGCTTCCATGTGTTCCACCTGCACAGAAATCGGCTAAATTTAGAGTCCCTTTGCTTATGTCTAATTTATAGAACAAAGGACATTTGACCATGATAACACACCACTGGGCCAGTAATCCCGACATGCTTAAGTGTATCGACAGGTTTATTCAATTCCCTGAGGACAAATGGCACACCATTGACGTAAACAACCGCCTCTTCCCTAAGATCTATTATTATCACTTTCTGAGATGTTACTCCTGCAGTGGGCTTGGCACCAAGATATGCTAACATCTCCTTCGCGCCAGCAATTGTTGGAGTTGCCATGCTAAACACAGGATACCCATCCACCTAAAGCAAAAACAGATGTTAGCTTGAAAATAATGACCAAGTTATATTTCAGGATATGTTGAAACAACTGAGCTAATCATAATAGCATTCATGCAAGTCTGCTTAAGTATACCCATAGAGAAAGGATTAGGCTTTTCAACTTGGAAAGGAACTAGAGCTTAGCCAGCCTTTAGCCCATCTTTCATGAATCAGTCCAGAGACCCACGGTTGACCATGTTGGTCGCACCATGAATAAATCACTGAGACAAGAGAAATGCTGAGTTTAACAAACGAAGGGGAAATACAGTGAGTGCCAGTGATATTAAAGTTGCTTCTCTCGAGGCCAAGAAAGGTTAGTTGAAGCCCATAATAAGCGCTCCATGTTGCATTGAATCGTATATGTCCATGTCAAAGAGAAGATAATGACCACAACCAAACCTCCATAACACGTAACGACTGCTTTTCAAGTTTAAACTTGTCGATGACCTCAATGTTTGAAAAAATAGTGAAGGTACTCTGAATGCAGACTAGTATCAAGACAAAGATGTTCAGTGGCAGACAATAGACTAGAGTCTAGACTACTTCAGGTCAAAGTCAAACTCTAGCATATTACATCTCTATGTAATTTTTCCATCTTCAAACAATCATAGTGTAATACCAAATCTCACATCAAGCTCAAACAATTCCGTTATGCTTTAAGCAAAATTTCAAGAAAAGAAATAACTTGAATTGATTAACAGAGCCTTAGAGTTCAAGCACATTCAACATATACAAAGAGAGTTTTTTTTTTTTTTCAGGGATACAAAGAGAGTCAAATTATCAACGTTTGGATTAAATGCTTTAGGGGTTCATGCTTTCATATGTGAGACACAACTAAAGAAAAGTCTACAGACAGCATAATTCCACGAGCATATGGTACTGTCGGTAATGCTGACCTCATCCATGATAATGGATATAAAAGTTCGCTTTTGAGTATCTGGTTCCAAAACATACCTTATAAACATGTGGTGCGCCATGAATTTGTATGTGGCTAGAAGTTTTCTGACCAGGGAAGAAGTCCATTTTGACGATGGAGCCTTTGCCCAAGACAGAACCATTACGGGATTTGACAATGGCCTCCATTACTGCATCTCCATGCTGGGACTCTTGTGATGCTCTCAATTCCTGAGTATTATATCAAAAGAATTGGATCACCATGAGAATGCAATAGGATGACCAAAATTTTAATCTGCAATTCATTCATTAAATGAAAGAAGGTCACAACATACAGGAACAGAAAAAAATCGTCCAGGCCTTAATCTGATACTCCATTTCATTGCTTGAACTTCTGGTCTCTGATGTAGCCAAGTCTTAAATGTCATCCTCATTTCTCCTTGTCCACAAAAACCATCAAATGCTTCACTCCCAAGATATGCCGCAAACGCAATCAGGCGGAAGTATCTGTCCAAATACTCAGCACCACGATTCAGTGCCACTCGCCTTACCCTAGGCTCAACATGTTGTTGGTTGAATACCTTTCTGTACTGTAAAACAGCTTGACGTATGTTTTGCAGAGCAGAACATCTATCAATGATAGCATCTAAGGCTTCACGGCACTCCAAACCATTGTCAAACAGTCTCGTTATCTTCCATAGTAGTACAATATCATTTATTCCAAAAGCACGACCTTGTTCCTCGCTAAATTTCTCTTTAGATACTGGAGAAGTAGAGGCAGCACCATTACCACCATTTTCCTCACCACTTGAGGTGCCGTCATCCACCTCTTCCTGCTTCCCATCATCAAACAGGATTTTAATTGGTCTACCATAATCAATTCTGAGTTTTAGAAGGCAAGCAATCACAGTTCCTGTTGTCGTCCTTCCTCTGCCCATCTATGAAGGCCACATAGAAAATAAGATATATGAGGAAAATTCAGCAAAATAGCTTGTTACATTTGATTAAATTCCTAGTCACAAAAACTCAAAGAATCAGCTTGAAGTCTAACCTGGCAATTGAAAACAAATGCTGTGTCCTTGGAAGCAGAAGAAATGTTCATCGCCAATGTGTCAAAGTCGGAACTTTTCGGAGCTTTACCATCAGTTATGGGCACCCGTGCATACTTAACAGGGAAGCCATCAGATTCCAAGTTTTCGAACACTTCAAGAGGTGTCTGCACAGAAGAAGAATCTACATGTTCCCATGCATGAAAAATCTGCCCATCTTCTGTTTCATGAATAACCATGATAGCACCCCCATATGTTTCAGCTTCTCTAAGAATGTCTTCTTTTAACCGAGCTTCCATTTTCTCCACTCTCTCTCGATCGATTCCCTGAATGCACGTCAGTTTAGTACAATCAAGAAAGTGAAGGAGCACTCAACACCAAAGAAAATATGGGCTTGACTAGAACCTTGTGAAGTAACATTTTTCGACAATACATACGCACAACAACAATTCCCATAGAGATGAATATTAGAGAACTAACAAGTATCTTGTAGATAGTAAAAGTAAGAGAAACAGTCGTAGTCACCTGTCGCAACTGAGTAGAAAACTCCAACCTATAGCTACCAAGTTTTTTCGTAAGAAACCAATATATTTGTTATAGACTTTTTTTCCAGTAATGACGCAGGTTTGTTGCTTGCACGTGTGCAGATGTGTACATGTGGCTGAACTGTGCATTGCACTAATCCTGGAAGGGTCTTTGTTGTTACGCAATTCATTACAAGAGGCATTTCATTGCTATGCAACCCATTACAATGATAGCATCCATCAGATAAAGATGTTAATTGAAAGATTGTCATTATTCACTGGTTGTCATGCAGCGTGCAATATGATTTGCAATAAGTCACTCATACCGAGTATTCCAGCATATTCTTGTATGGTCTCTCTACTTCACGAAGAACAAATGGCTTTCCATTAATGTAAATCACAGGTTCTTCTCTCATATTATGCCAAAAGACAGGGCGACCATATATGCCGCTACCAATCCTCCGTATGACTGATCTTATGCCATCAATAGTTGGATTTGCAACTCCATAAACAGGAAACCCAGGAACTTCTCTGAAATTAGGGGCACCCTCCACTCGCTCTGGTAAACTTTGATTTTGACAACCGGGACAGTGATCACTTTTCAAAACAGTTTGACTGCCAAGAACCTCCCCATTTCTCCTGGCAGCAACCACACCCATCTCATAAGGTCGGCCATCAGCTGATTCGGCCATCTTCATAAGAGACGGCTCCAAACTTGCATATCCAAGTGCACCCATTGGGTCCCTTCTGAGCAATCTACGAAAACAATTGTTATAAAAAGATGAGGCTGTCAGAATTGTTGATATTATAAACACTGCCCGCAAAAAAGCCCATAATGCTTGTATAATCACAATTGGAATGAGAGCTATTAGTTATTTAAGGAAGATGCCATGATAATATTTGTTCCAGATAGAAACACAATTTGGGCAGTTAATGCCTCATTTGCTTGGCATAGTTTCACCTTCAACAGCCTAGTAATAAATGAAATTCCTTAAACCATACCAAGGAATACTGAGCATGATGAGAAAAACTGTTGTAATATCAGTTTTGCAATCAAAAAGCCTACCCAGAAGCTGGGATGAGTGAGTGAACCAAACATATTTCACCTGAGGTCAAACTAAAAGCTGACCCCGTAAAATGACTGATGGAGATAAGCTTCTGCTCAATGCAAGAAGGTAGAAACTTGGAACCTGAAAGGTATGTAATAAACTTTCCTATCCGAAAAGAGAGATCCAAATCACACTGACACTATCCTGACCTTAAGAAAAGGTTAAAAAATGCACAGCGAAACTTAACTTTTCTCCAGCAATTCAATCTACTGGCATGCATGCATCTGACCAAAAGGTTTAAAGACTATTCAAATCGTTATATTTGTCTCCAGCAAAACCTTCAATCTGAAAGTCCAAATGTGAAATAAGATCAATATTTTACCTGCGAATGATGCTATAAAGTTCTGGTCTCGCTTTCATCCAATCAGCAAAAGTACAACGACCCAAAGAACTAGAGCGCAACGCCTGTCTTTCTGAATGGACATATACGGCAAAACATATAAGATAGTAGTATCTCTCCAAGTATTCCACAAAAGTTGAAAGTGATGCCTCCCTTTTCATCTCATCAGGTTGACGTAAAATATTATTGCGATTGGTGGCGATGGCCTCGCGTAAGTTCTGCAAACAAATTTCACGCAAAATTTTAGAGAAAAATGAAAGACGAACGGAACTCATGGAGATCTTATGCAAAGTATTCATCAGTCCAATAAGGAATCTAATGGAAATATACAGGCTCCATGAAATGCATTAGGTGACTTTGTGATGCCATACCTGCATGGATGCACATTTGTCGATGACTTTGTCGACCTGTCGTTTCCCTTCAACACCACCCTAAACATATAATGTCAGTTGACATAGTAACCCAATCTACAAATCGACCACAGGGTGAGAAAAGACGTAACATCAATTACCTCTAAAACCCGAATCAAGCTTCTTATGACTGCATATTCTCCTCTTCGAATTGCCTCCTCTGAATTTGGCAAATTGACCGTGACATTAGAACCAGAATCTAAAACCCTTCCAATTGAGTTGATCCTAGGTATACCTTCATGCCAAAAAAAAAGGAAAAATCACTTTAAAGAAGGTGTATGTAAGAGAGAGACAGAGAGAGAGAGAGAGAGCAGAGGAGGCATCTATACAGAGGGATCCTTGTATGTTTGGAGATGTATAACCCATGACATGACCTTAAAAAGTTAACTTAAACTATTCATTTTAGAGCCAAGGATAATGATGGACTTTAAGTTCCTCTTCGTCTTATCATGGAAGACCACATTGTCCTCACCATCCGTCCAGCAATTGGGACACAAAATGAAACCATGGTTGTACAGAATTAATCGGAGAGACACCGATGTAAGTTTAAGTGGGAAGCTTAATTGAAGAACAAAAGATATAGGAACTCATTTCGTGTAACTTTTCTTTTTGCAAGCATTTAATGTAACAATATTTAGCCAAAAACATTATTCACTCGATAATCAAGAATCTAGACAAATACTAAATACTGAATCAAGATCAGTAACTATTCAGTTTTCCTTATGCCATTAAGACAAAGTATCATGCAATAAACTAACAAGGACTACCAGAATCTCCAATCCGATTGAGGTAGATCAAAGTCGCAATCACCATCCCAGTGGTTGTCCTTCCACGGCCCATTTGGCAGTTGAATATTATCTCCGTGTTTACATTAACTTGAGAAATTTTGTCAACCTAAAATTGTGAAGGAAATGGGATAGAAGTCAGTATCAGCAATCCAAGTGCAGAAAAAGCATTTATAGAGATCATATTTGTATCACCGTTACCATGGCACACGGTTAAATACAAGCAATAGAACTATCGGTCAATATTTCACAGCTGTTTGAAACATACTCTGTACGGATAGTTCGCCCTGTCTAAACTAGGTTTGATTCCGCATATTCACTGAAAACATGCACAGGTACCACATAATAGTGTTTCCACAGTCCTATACTACGCTTCACCGAGTGAATCCCAAACAATTATCCATCTAGCAGGAAGGTATTATATTATCTCGCTCTCGCTTTCTAGCCCTATATAACTTTGAAAGACCTAGAGACAAGAACTGGTAAATATAACGAGATCCCAAACATATGCATGCACTGAATATATAACTCGGAGATAGTATGGAAGCAAACAATTTGAGGAGGCTCTGTGAAGTCTCAATATTCCATCAACTAAAACATAAGCTGTCTCGCTAATCTAGGCAAGGCTCAGCCATGTGGGCCACATGCAATTATTCTGGTATATTTTGAAAGATGTCCTCCCTTCCCCTCACTTGAAGTTAGATAACAGAGAAAAAACTTCCATGAATCCAGCGGATATAATGTAGTAACACTTGCACTCATTAAAAGTAAGTAGTTCATCCAAGGAAGCAAACAAAATTTAAAACATCTTTACTTACCAAATCATCGATATCTTGTTCCTCTGGTGCCTTTTCATCGGTTAAGGGAACTCGTTCATAGTCCACAAGGTACCCTTCAACTTGCAATTCCTGGTACACCTGTATCGAAGAAATAACAGTGAGACAATATATAAGAAAATGGAAGTACTTATTGTCCTCTAGAAATAACTCTGATGTGTGTATGATACCTCGAGGGGGGTCTTCACAGAATCACGAGACACGGGTTCCCATTGGTCTACCATCTGATAGTCTGGCAGTTCATCAGTGACAAGGATCTTATTTCCATATCTGCAATGTCAAAATTCGCAATAAAAATATGCCATTACGGAAATTAGCAACTGATACTACTGTTGAGGAAACCCCTGAATACTAAAATCATCGCATGGTGCTATGACAAGAGAGTACGTACCTTGCCGCTTCCATCATGATATCTTCTTTCAATCTTTCCTCCATTTGTTCAACCCTATCCCTGTTGATTCCCTAATAAGATTCAGATGGACAGGTGAAAAAAGCAAAACATGAATCAGAATGTTGCTACGAGAGCTGTGACATCAATACATTCTTAAAAGATAAACAAAGATGTAGAATATTTACGGACATAAGCTAAGATAAATCAGATTAGAAGACACAATATCCAATCAATTCAACAACTTGATTGCCTAAATATGAGCTCTAGAGTAATTGGGACTCACGGCTTCCTCATCTTTCCACATAAATAAGGAAATCTCTTGCCATATGAAGCAATGACAACAATGACAGCCAACAGAACAATAGAAAAACAAGCATGCACGGCAATCAATTGATCATGCAGTAAAGATAATGGACCTAATTGAGAATGGTGTAATCTTGGCAGCGTAACATACCGTCAATTCAAGGTTGGAAAGGGGCTTTTCCTCATCACGCAAAACAAAGGGTCGTCCGTTAATGTATATAACCTGTTCAAAAGGTAAAGAAAACAGATAAGCTTCACAAATACAGGATTCTGCTTCGGGCAACAACATGCAACGGACAACTGTCTCCTTGTGGGGTCCAACTAATAAAGATTTAAGAAGCATTAACCAAGCCATTATCATCCAACGGTTCATGAATCCATTCTTTCCGCTAGTTTTTGGACAAAAAAGGACAAGAACAACAGAAGCCATAATTGAGAAACATCCTGCCACGACGTGACTCAATTAAGGAGGATACTAACTCCACGGACAAAAAAGATGTTTGTTTGTCACTCCGATATTTTCAGATCCTATCTCTAAAAGTCAAAATGGCGGGAACAACGAGCCACACGCAAGGCGTAGCAATTACATGACATCATCAATTAAAATTTTGCTCACCCTTTAGATTGCTCTTATTTATTTAGGAGAGAAGCTGGTGCCACTTAGGGGAAAAAGACAGGTAAAGAAACTAAAGGTTCATTTCTAGATAGATACAACTCATCAAAAAAAGACATACCCGACAAATCGGAGTTGACACAACTCAAAGAAAACAGAACTAGTAGGCTCAAAACAATACATGAATTGGAATGCTTTGGTCTCATTAGATGCATTTACCGGTTCCTCGCGAAGACTAATCCAGAGAACTTTTACTCCCTTCCCATCAATTTGGGCACCGATATGTTTAAGAACATTCCTTATTCCATCAATGGTCGGAATAGCAACACCATGGACATGCAACGAATCGGCCTGTGGAAAGTCCCCAGCAGATAGAAATTAGGCACTACTAGTCACATTAATCACAGTACACAGAAAATTGCCAAAACCACCACCGGACAGGTTAAATGTAGCGCTCCACCTATTATACAATCAAGTCAACCTTGACCTACGTTACAGAAAACGTTCATCTCCTGTAAGAAAGCCACCTCGCAACATCAGAAAACTGATGACAAGATAGACACACCGAATTGGCGACCAAAAAGAGAATCAATCGGTCCATAACTTCAGAAAACCTTACGTAATTAAAGGTGCTCGCCGTTAATCAACTTATAAATGCATTAGAAAAACCACATTCCTCTCCTATGACTAGCTAGTACACGACACCAGAGAACTAATCACCTCACAAAACATTCCAATTAGCTACGAGAAACAAATCCTCCGCGACACAAACTAACAGAAAGCAACACGATCGCCGCCTACACCGAAGGCTTATCAACTCAGCGGACAAAGGAGCAATCGGTAATCCACACAACACATGCATGGAGCGCGGTGTCATCGACATTCATCGCGACAACGAAGGGAAATGCTCGGAAAATGCGAATCAAAACGGTGAGGAGAAAGGGCGCTGGGAACCTGACGATAGTTAGGAGCGCCGTCGATCTGGGGAGACAGGCGCTTGTTCTGGCACCCGGGGAAGTGATCGCTCTTGAGGATCGTCTTCTTCCCCAGCACCGAACCTCCCCGCAACTTCATCACCAGCTCCGGCTCCTTCGGCATCGACATGGCTCATTTACACTTCAAACAACCACAAAAACAAAAAAAACAAAAAAAAAAAAAAACAGAAGGCAGCTACCGATTTCCCGCTCGCTCGCTACCTACACAGAGAGAGGCACGCAGCTCACAAGAAGGAAAGAAGAGAATCCGCACTCCGCCGCGCTTGTCCGAGCCGCCGTCAGCCGGATAGGCTCATGCAAGCAAGCTCGCTCGAGGAGGCGGCTCCCGCCGGCTCGCCGCAGTCCAAATGCCGATCGACGAGACGGAGAGGGAGAGCGCGGGGAGAGCGGGAGGCGGCGGAGGTGGCGGAGGGAGGAGGAGGAGGAGGAGGAGGAGGAGGAATGGAGTGGCGAGGAGGAGGGCGGAGAGCGGCGGCGGCGAGAGACGAGAGGAGGGAGAAGAAGAAGATGAAGAAGAAGAAGAAGGAGATGACGGAAGGGAGGGGATTGATTGCGATTGTGATTGTGTGTACGCGATGGAGCAAGAGCCTCTGGGTTTTCATCTCTCCCCGGTACCTCTCCTTTTATTCTTCTTATTTTTATTTTTTTTTGTTTTTTTTTGTTTTGGGGAGGGGTGGGGTTTTTGTTTGGCTTTATGATTGGCGCATGGCTGGAGTTCCTATCAGTGCTGAGAGTAAATGCGTGAGAACGTGAATTGCGTGCGGAAATGACTAAGATACGGACATATGGAAAACGATGAAATACTCACATTCTAAGCATTTTTACATACATACATATATATGATTTATATATGTATTAGGGAAAATTCCAATTTATGATCCAAAGTGGGGCCATTTTCTCAATTTAGGGTCCCAAGTGGACTTAGTACCAAATTGGTACCCAAAGTCCCAAAAAAGTGTCAAATAAGGGTCTGGGTCGCCGGCCGGCCAAAATACTCGCCGACCGACGATCCCGCGACTGTTCCGGCGAACGGAAACAGTGTTTTTATATATATTTTTTCTTTTTTCTGTTTTATTCTTTTCCTTTTCCTCTTTTTTTTTCTCATTTCCCTCCAGGCCATTGCCTGGGCCAAGTGAAGTTGCCATAGGCCTCGGGCGGAGGCGGCCCTCGCCGGCGAGGGGGACCCGGGGGCCGGCGAGGCGAGGTCGCCCACCTCCCGTGCCCGTAGGCGGGCGACCCTCGCCCTCGAGTCCGGCGAGGCGGCGACCTCGCCAGCCTCGTCCGCCCGCGGACTGAGGGCGGCCCTCGCCCTCGCCGTGGGCCGGGCGACCTCGCCGGCCCTGGAGTCGAGCCAGGGCCGGGCGAGGGCCGCCCTCGCACGGGGCGTTTGCCGGGCGAGCGGGCGCCCTCACCGGGTCCGGCGAGCTCGCCAGGATCTAGCAGGCGGTCGCCCTCGCCTTGACCCGGGCGAGGCGCGGCCCTCCCGACCTGGGTCACCCTCGCCGGCGAGGGCCGCCTCCGCCTGAGGCCGACGACCTTCGCCGGCCTCGGTAATGGCCGGCGGAGGGAAAGGAGAAAAAAAAGAGGAAAAGGAAAAGAAAAAATAAATAAATAAAAACACTTGTTTCCGTTCACGGAACAATGGAGATCGCCGCCCGGCGGTATTTTGGCTAGGCGACCCGCACCCTTATTTGACACTTTTTGGGGACTTTGGGTATCAATTTGGCACTAAGTCCACTTGGGACCCCAAATTGAGAAAATGGCATCACTTTGGACCCCAAATTGGAATTTTCCCTATGTATTATATGTATGTATGATTGGGAATGTTCAAGAGTGCCTCCAGAGAGTTATTGAGATAATTTGTTAGGAGCGATGAAAAATATTTGAGATTGTACAAAATGTGCGTGGCACGATCTTATCGGTATTCCTGTGTGCACATTTTAAGGAGGCCCTTTTTGCACGAGCAGACATTGTGCGAGTTCCCATCTCGGTGACTTCTTCAGAGATGGATAGTGTTGCCCTTTTCTTTTCTTTTTCGCTAGGGAGATTCGAAAACTTGAAGAATAAGTAACAAGAGGGTACCAAGTCTTTCTTTTCTCTCGCTTTTTTCGTTTTTTCTTTTTTGCCGTACAAATTTTAAGAGTCCATGGTCTTTTCAAACCGGGCGTGCCTAGCACGAGACTGTACGTGTTGTTGTCCTTAATGTAAGCGGGTGAAAGAAAAAAGTCTTAAATAAGCAAGAGAAAGAAACGGCTCTCGAACAACCAAGCTCTTTTAAGGGAAAAACATAAGTCGGATCTCATACATGTCGAGGGATAGAATTTCAGAAAATGCGAGACATTTTCCTTGATCTTCGTCATTATGATGCCGTCCTTTATTTAGGGACGAAAACTATTACCATTTGATTAAAAAAAAATCCGCACGAAAAATGGGTTTAGAGGTTGATATCTTTCTCCGATTTTACATTACATATATATATATATATATATATATATATATTTGTCTGTCACAACTGGCATACTTTGTTTTTTATTTATTAAAAAAAAAGGGGGGGAGAGGAAAGAATATTCGTTTTTTCTTCTTCTTCTTCTTCTACTTCTTCTTTTTTTTTTTCTAATTTTATTTTTATTTTTAGAAGAAGAAGAAGAGCGTAGCGGATATTCTCTGCAGGAAGCTTGGATGGGATGATATACCCAACCGCCCATCACAAGCCGCCACCTACCCCCTCGGAGTCGGATAACACTTCCGCCACCCACACCACAGTCCCTCTCTCTCTTTCGAGCTAATATCGAAATTTCTATTATTTTCACCAAATCCGACCAAAAAAAAAATAAATGAATTATTTTACCAATTGCCCCCCACGCCAGAAACGTGCTTTTCCGACCCACTTCAGTCCCCACCAATTTTTGTCTCGAGAAAAAAGCCACAAAAGAAATCTCAAACTTTACCGATAGTGATACATTTGCCTTAAATTATTTTTATGTGGCACCAAAAACTCCAAAGTAGTACCCATACAACACATTGATCCCAAACTTATACTTGCACGACGCATTTATCCCAAACTCCTTGAAGACGATTGGAGTAAATATGTCACGCTCTACAAGTTTAGGATTTTGGATATCACGAAAAATAAAATTTCGGGATAAATATATCACACAATGGGCATAGTTTAAGATTTTTTTTGTGTGGCTTTTACCCTTTTCCTTTTCCCTTTTTCAATTCAAATGATTCCGATTCACCCAACGAATAGAAAGAGAAAAGAAAACCATATAATTCCCATTAGAAAAACTGCTCACGTTTTGGCTCGCGCACGATCCACCACGTGGTAAAGAGCGATAACCCAAGCGACTTCGGAGGTGGGGTCCGTTCTTGCTGTGTTCGATGGAGCCTTGACCGATGCACCATGAATCGGGCGAGACCTTATTACATTTATTGACCTAAACGAGTCAAAAAGGCTGGGATTTGCAATTGATGCCGCTACATATGATTCCCCTTAGCCCCAACTGGTGACGACATCATAGTCCTTGACTTGAGTTGGCCTCTCGGCTTCTATCTCTTTCGCGGGGTCTCTCAAGTTGACATCACAAGGCGCCACCCGCCAAATCAATCTACGTCCCACGCTTACTTTAAGAGATGATGGGGTGGTTCTGATTGGTTCACCTTTTGCGTCGCCAGGTCTTCCCATACAGAGGGTTTGACAAGTGGGGTTTGAGCGTCCAATGTTAGACCCCCTGATCACTTTTCCAAAAGGGTCACTTGCTAGGGGAGAGATTGGTTGGCCCGAAAGGAAAACTTTCATTGGCAGGCTCCATGAGATGACTACGCACGGGTAGTGATTTTAGCGCGTGTAAAGTCAAAAAAGGAACGTAAAACTTTGTGTTGCCTCTGAGGGGCGATTGATGTGACCGGCGGCAACGGATGAGGCACGGGAAGGAACGGTGCAAATGCAGAGCGAAAGGCGCGGACACGATAGGACGGGTCGGGCCGTCGTGGATCAACACGTTCGCCGGGGTAAAAATCAAATTCTTTGGCACGTGAAAAAAGGGTGAGCCACGATTATTTAAATGACACGGCGTACATTGAGAACACGATTCTGTCCCTTCTGACACGTATTGCCAGGCGAGAAAACTATATTATATGGCACACCATTATATGGAAAGCGAACGGGGTACGCGAAACTAGTATTCTTTTTATGCAGTTCGAAGGCATCTGTACCATGACCCTACAGGTCCTAATCCTATCAAGATTAAACAAAGTAAGAAACGTGAACATCAGTCCCTGTCTCACGACAAAGCATATGAGCCGACCCGACGCTTAACGAGCACGTAGGTACAAGTCTACATTGAACAGGGCTCAGATCATGTGGAACACGCCAAGAGAAAAACATAGACATAGAGAGAGGTAGGTTCTTATATAAAATGATAACCATAAGCACATGCCATCTTTTCTATTCTGTCTTCTTTATAAATTTTTTGGCTAAACTATTAGCACATGATATCACACGTTACACAATCATTGACAGGATGAGCATTGAGCATTCTCCTCCATTTATCTATTCTCTTTTAGCATTCACAAATCTACATTGAGAGATCGTCAAAAGATTGAGGACTATATTATAAAAATTAAAAAGTTTAGGACTGAATAGACAGTCCTACAATAGGTTTAGGACTCGAAAGCTTTCAACATTTTGTTTGCTGGTTTGGTTTGCTGGAGAAATGATTGGAACAGGTCTGTGGATTCTCAGTCTCCCGCATAGAAAATAGTTTCCCGGGCGACTTTGTGATCAAGGGACGTGTCGTTCCGGCGATCTTGCAAATAGAAGTTTGCTGCAATAAAATACTTCTTCCCTTTCGACAATTAGATCATATGGGGTTAAGCATTTGGAGCAAAAGGTGATTCAGATTATAATTGTCGTTATCAGCTGTAGTGCGATCATAAGCCAGCTTCCATAACTGAACAACCCAATTATCAAAGGGAAGAAGAAGAAACAAAGCTCCGACAGCTGCTTCAAAGAATATAATTACCTGCTGCAAGAGGAAATGTTGCTGTCGAAGTCCCACTTCTACAGGCCAAGAAAGATTGCATACAGTGGCCAGTGATACAACATGTGACTATCTACGGATCAATGCGAAAATAACACTAGAACAAGAAGCTTTCAATGCATCATGCATTGGTCACTCACGACATATCTCAGTCCATTGGCAATTATGGGTATCTGAAATTCTGAAACGACTGGCCATAGCCATTCAGGCGTATCTAACAAGAGCAATATTGAAGAAAGCTCTAGTGATCCTCCTCTGTGGGACTGTGAAAGCTTTATCTTCTTTTATTTTACATTACGAAGTAAAACATTAGATGTCAAGTATCCATACAAGTCAGACACACATCCAAATTATTCAAGTACAGTCGAATATCTCTTCCCCAATCTCACGAGTTATTGTACTGGTATATTCCTAACCATGTCATTGTCCCAATGGGGCTGCAAGTGCTGCAAAGCCTCATTTTTGTTCTTGAGAGCCTTATCGTACGATATAAAACCCATGAACGAGAATTCACAACCATCTCTCGTAACAACCAGGATGTACTTTTCAGAAGGATTCAACATGTTTGAATAAGGACTAACAGTGCTCAACTGATCGAGCAGCAGAACCACCTAGACAATCAATCAGGATGAAAGCACTTTAAAAACTGATGGTTGGAGAGTGAAGCTCAGCGGAGCTTGACAAACTTTTTCCAGGGTGTGTTTCACTACATTCAGATGCTTCTTGCTTAGATAAGATCAAAATGATGGAAAAATGATCCAAGGCACAGTGAAGTAATACAGACAATGAGTAAAATGAAGGTCCTGTCCAGTGAAGGTTCTCCGAAGAGGGGAAACGAAGATAATAACTCAGGCTATGAATTTGTCATGCATCAAAAACTTATCATGATTCAGACCAAAGGTCAGTGCTTATCAATTTGAAACCGCAATCCTAGAGCAAATGCAATTACAGGAAGATTGGAAAAGGTTACCTTGTGATACATCCACTGTTGCTGCCCTGAGGGAGAGTATTGGCAAAGAGGGTTATCACTACAGAAGGCCAATCTCTTGTTTGACAAATACAGTGTCCCAATGACAGGCCCAGTGGAAGAGGATAGATAGCAAGCATATGCCTTCAGGAGCTTCTCTCCCGGAGGAATCTCAAACGTATTTTGAAATACCTTATCCTGTCCCCCCTCGGTGAGCACTTTTGTCCCCTGAGCAAGTGGAGCCATCGCTGCGTCTCTGATGCTAGGGCCGGTTCTAACTGTTTCACACAAACATAGCACAATTACCAATTAGTTGAGGTCAGGCAAGTGTAGAGAGTTCTTAACAACACACTCCAATCGATTGGAAACCATGAGGAGACAAATAAACTAAAGAACGGGCTTTGTCTCTTACAAGTCACAAATAAACTAAAGAACGGACAACAAGCCAGCTGCAGTGATTGCTCTTACAGGACAAAGCTAATTCTCCTTCTTCACGGGGAAAAAGGTGAAGAGCCAAGAGACGATCATTCATCTAGTCCAACGTTCAGTCACGCAAAGAGCCCACTGGGTCCGGATGGCTTTAGAAAATTATGGAAAACAAACCATGTCCTCGACGGAAGTGCCATGTTATGCATTTGGCAATTTGTTATAAGTAGGAATCGACATAGATTGCCAAAAGAATAAGCGCCGAAGATAGCATCGCACATCAAAGTTGAAGCTCCTCTAGATGAATAATCAAGGGACTTGATCCACTCAACACTCAACAGCTAATTGGCGGATTAAATACACAGATTATGAAGCATGTATCTTAGTTCCTAGGTGGTAACTGCAGAAGAAGACGATGAATGATCATTTGCACTGATTCCTAAAACCACAGGACCGCAATGGTATGAGGCCAACATGCGGACAAACGACGACAATGAAGAACGAGGTGCCAAACTCTTTTGGATTCAATATTTACTTCCATAGCATTCACTTATATTGCAGAAACAGAGAAAAAATATATGCAAGCAAGCTATCAGATACGTTTCCACGAATAATCCAAAATGTTTCTATCTGATTATACAGACATATTTTGCGAGAATGTAGAGAAAACTCACGGTGATGCCGAAATTGTCCGCGAGTGCCTCTGCTTTTCGCAAAGCATCTTCGAACCTCTTGCCACACCAGTTCAACGTGTGGCGTATCTTGTTCATCGAACCTGCAAACAAACACCAGCAAAGCGTCGGCCCTCATCAACGCCATCCTCAAAAGCCTAATCATCAACCATAACTTCCGACGCGAGAACACACCTCGACAGTACTCACTCTTGCCAGGCGGCGCGGAAGCATTCAGCGGAGCGACGTGGACGTAGAGGTTCTCGCCACCGCCGCTCTGGTTGAGGTTGTTGGCGAAGCCGGAGGCCGAGCCGCTCGGGGCGGCGTGCATGTAGCTGGAGTGGAAGCTCGCGGGGCTGGCCTTGCCAGCAACCCAGGTGGCAGCGTGCTGGTTCGCGGGGTGCGCCCAGGGCTCCACCGGCATCCCCACCACGCACGTGCCGCAACGCGTCGCCGCCGGTTCTTCTTCTTCTTCGTCTTCGTCTCCGTCTCCGTCGCGCAAGAAACTTCCGCACAAGAAAAGAGAGCAGAGATAGAATCTAGAAAAGAGCTGCGAACGATAAACGAGAATCAGAATCCGAATGAGAATGGTGATCAACTTTTCTTTTTTCCCTTTTTTTTTTTGGGTCTGAATTTTCGAATTTAACGGTTCGATGCGTTTGAGTCTAGAAGCGACCTGCCTCGCTAAAGCAAAGAGACTATTACTAAAAGGAAGCAAACTAGTAGCGTGGCGATGATTCTTTGCATCCGAGGACGCGACCTTTCTGTTATTACGGATTTGGGCCCCTGAACTTTTTGTTTATTTCCGCCCCGTATCCCAAATTAAGGAACCTGTTATCGATAAAGTGTTTCTTAGGAATCTTTGGACTTTGAGAAAATCCCTAATAATTAAGGGTGCATCCATTTCATTGAAAATAAGTGATTTGAAAAATATTTTTTGAAAAGTAATTGCTTATGTCGTTTAGAAAATTAGCCAATGGAAAATGTTTTCATCATCGATTACAATCTATGCCTAATTATTTCTGTGGGCAATGAAAAAAATTTTCATTCATTTATTTTTGTAAGGAATACAAGTGATTATTTTTCGGAAAATATTTTCCAAATTGCTCATTTTCCGCGAAACGAATGCACCCTAGTTCAAATGATTATTTCTAAAATTGTTTTTAAAAAAATTAAAATTTTAAAAAATAATCAGTCTGGTCCGGTTCGGTTTCCCGTGGAACTGAGAAGCGGACTGAAAATCACTTTCCAATTTTATGGAACCGGGAACCAGACCGGGCGCCCTTTGGAACCGCCCAAAACTAGCCGGTTCTGTCTAGGCGGTTCCTAATTTGGGTGGCAACGCTCCGTTCGATTCTCTTTTCCTTACTTCTTAATCGAAAAATGCAAATGAAGTTATATGAAAGTCAAATCTTGAAAATGGCGAAATTATATTCACAAAAATTGTAAATTTTCACATCCATTCTCAAAGCGGTATTTTGTTTGCCCTCGCCTATTTCCAGTTCGTTCGATTTGATATGGAGAGTGATGTAGTGCTGAAAAATGACAGTAGAAAGCGTTTGGAGCAGTAAACACGATCTTGAAAACTGAACACGAAAATACTCATTTGCATTCGAAATGAAATAAAGTCAAGTAGAATACTCAAACCTAGTTTTAATAAAGATGACATATATCTCCTCCTATTATAAAATTTCCTCCTGACGTAATAGCTTTAGATAATGAATCTTTAAAGGAAAATTAATATCATTTTTTTAGTGCACATTTAACACTAAATAACTTTAGCAACATAGTAAATAGAATAAGAATTTAATTAATCTCATGTATTATTGTTATTAAGGGAGAGATCATCTTTTGGTATCTCCCACTATTCTTTGATTCCACTATTTATTGTATAGGTAACTATCTCGTACTCCCCCTCCTTTAAATCAAAGTTCTTTATTGTCTCTCTCCATTTGTCATTTTTCAACATTATTTGGAGTGACGATTGATGCACCATGAAGCAACGCGTACATAGCAACCGCTGGAGTGCCATGAAGCCATGCGTAGAGCAGGTTCCGTGCTAGCTAGATTTTTAAGCAAGGACTTCCAATAGAAAATCTTGTCACAACTTTCAGCACAGTGCTACGAGTACCGAGTTTGGGTTAATGTCATCCTTAATATGATAATGCTAAAGGATGATACAAGCGTAATTAAGATCCATAAACATAGTCATAGACATATACAATCTCATGATAGCCATGGAAGGGGAGCTACACATAATACATCATCGATACCACGTTTCAATTTGCCCCATGTCACTGGATGAATTGGTATCGAAATGGGTCTATGTGTAACATCCTCAATTTCAGTTTCTGAGAAATGGCTATGGTTTAAGTTTGGTGATTTTCCAATCGGAGCAAATTTTACTCTTATTCTGGAAAATCCAGATTCGGATCCTCTGTACCCCTTCGTTTTGTCATTTTTGTGAAGACTTTTGTGATCAGAATTTTCAAACATTTCCTTCTTAAAAGTTTCTCCAAACATCTTGAAGTTTTACATACTTTAATTTCAAAATTTTTGGACTTGATATGAGTAGTACGATAGCCTAATTTCTGACCGTATAAAACTGCCCAGAATGGGTATTTCTGTGATGTTCACACTTTCTTGATTTTCTACAAATTTTTCTGGGCCGAATTTGAACAAACTTCATCACAAAAGTTTTTGAGAAATCTTTCTCTATAACATATATAAATCTTGGAATTTTTGGAGATGATTTGGATTCTGGAAAGAGCTTACTTTGAAAAGCAAAGATTCTGTTCCAGCGAACTGTTTTTAGTCTATCTTCGAGCTATTAGAAGTTATGTTTATAGAAAGATTCAGATTTTGTGTTCTTCATGAAAAATATTTGCTAAGGCCTTGTTTATAACATACCCAAATTTGAGAATTTTTGGAGTCCATTTACTATGTTTTCAAGTCCGATTTCGCGAACAGTGCAAAACTGCCAGTTTTGTCAGATTTCACAAATTCATCATTTTCTATATGAGAACGTTGGAATCTCAACATGATGTCTTCTGGTGATTTAATGTGCTCATTCTGAGCTTTCAAATGAGCTATGCTAAGTTTTGATTGGAGGTCACACGAAGGGGGAAACTGAGAGGGAACCAAGAGACAAGAAGGAGGGTTCTAGAAAGCAAGAACTTGGTGAGCAAGTTGATCAAAGCTTGGTGAGCAAGTTGGTCAAATTTTGGTGAACAAGTTGAAGAGGAGCCTATAAATAGAGGCACCCTTCTCTTTTCCTCATAACACACACACCACCTCATCTTCCTCTCTTATTTCTCATTCTCACGCCTCTCTCTCATCTCTCACCCTCACGCCAAACACTTCTCTCTCTCTCTCTCTCTCGCCATTGTTGCCGCCGATCGCCGTAGACGTTTTCTTATGATTATAGGTGATTATTGGTAAGTGAATTCCATAACACTTGGATAGGGCAATGTGTTACATGGTTGGAACGCACAATATAAGTGGATTCCCTAATCTCAGGATAGGAAGTTATGATGCGTTGTTGGCTTGAGTTCTCACCCGAGCCTTTGTTGAGACTTGCGTGTTTTTGTTTGTCTCGATGTTGCACGCATCGCTTGTTACAATGCTTGACGTTTTCATCCATGCTTATTGATTTATAAGAGGATAGAACGTGGTGTTACGAGTTTGACTCGAGTAGTGATCGTGTCTGTGATGCTCGATGTTTGCATGAATACTTCTTGTTTTGCTTCGTAATCGTAAGTCAAGGCACGTACGAGTCACGAAACGGGGTGTCGTATGGTCTCGTACTCATGTTGTGGCGTCACGGGACGAGTTCGGCTTGGTAGGGGTTTACATTGGGATGTGTAGATCCAGGCCAAGTTCGGCTCCGAGCCGGCGCTTGGCATGGCGGACCGAACCACATACCCTTGACCGCGACCCGCATGTCAGGCAAATGTTCTAGAGATCATGATTACACAAGCACGGCACGCCTTTGGGCTTGATTGCATGGACTAATAAAATCAAAATACTAAACCGGCTTGTGTGACCCATGATGTGTGATCACTAAATAAAAGAAGAAGACTGCCATCACATAGCATTGGCGGCGATGCCTTGGTAAACTAGCACCTGGATGCCCTAGTTGAGCTAGGATGCCTGGGTTGAGCTCGGATGCTTCGGGTGAGCTACCCCCGAGATGTCTCGGTTGAGCCGGGATGCCTTTGTTGAGCCGGGATGCCCTGGTTGAGCCAGGATGACGATACATGAATCTTATATGTGTGCCAGTATGTGATAAATTAAGTCTATATGTGTGCTGGTATATGTGCTTATTGATAAGCCGAATTTATGTGACCGGATAAAGGTGAGTTTCCATGTGAACATAACAAGGGCAATGTCAGAGTATTTGCTATTGATTTGCCATCGACATAAGGCGGGGAAAGTATTTGTATGCGTTAGTACGACGGCGAGGCATCATCCTGCAAGAGTATTAGTGAATTTACTCATTGAGTCTCCCCAACTCATTCCCCGTTGTTTTCCTTTTTAGGTCCGTAAGACGGAGGATGACATAGAGGAGCTTGGATTAACCTCGGCCTTTGCTTGTGATATGATTTGTACGTAGGAGCGGCCCGTGAAAAAAGGGCTTGTAAATTATGTTTATGTAAAATGGCAATAATGTGTCTTTCCTGTTATGCTTTTTCTGATTTCTAGCTATTATGATGTTTGGGAATTTGTTTACACGTTTCCGCATGTATTTAATAATCAGATGAAAGAAACGGGATGGCGGCAAGCCTGTAATGTCAAATTAATAACCTCGAGGGTAAGATAAGGATGTTACATATTAATACAAGGTTTGCTCATGATACTTGCATAACCCCGTTGTTTGTTCTGATTGTGATTGTCCCGAATTAATTGTTTTCGCTTGTGCTTAGTCAAAGATAATAACAAACGGGATGTCACACTAATAACCCCGAGGTGGGGATATTACACTATGCCTGTGTAATACTAGTACTAATATAGTCAAGATGAGAATCTTCATAAGTTATTTCGCTAGTTGATAAAGTGGATACGGTATCAATGCCTTCATCAGTACAAGTTCCATCATCCCTTGTTGACATTTCTGTTGGATAAAAGAGTGGCTTGGGAGGTATTTGTAGATCATCTGCTTCTCTTTTCAGCATTTCCAAGACTTTGCGCATCGAAGGGCGATCGCTAGGACTCCATTGTATACACCAAAGAGCAACTATTATAATCTTCTTTACTATTACATATAATATACATATATATGTATGTATGATCGGGTATGTTCATGAGTGCCTCCGGAGAGTTATTGAGATAAGCTCTTATGAGTGATGAAAAATGTTTGAGATTATATGAATTGTGTGCAAAGCAATTATATCAGTATTCATACCTGCGCATTTTAAGGAGGCCCCTTACATGGGTAGACATTGTGTGAGTTTCCTTGTCGTGACTTCTTTAGAGATCGGTTGCGTTACCCTTTTCTTTTCTTTTTTGCCAGGGAGATTCGAAAACTTAAAGAATAAGTAACGGGATCCTACCGAGTCTTTCTTTTCTCTCCATTTTTTTTCCT